ATTCCCGCTGATCTATTTAATTCTCCCATTCTAATATCACGGTGGGATTCCCTCTTAATCCTTAGTAGAATTGCAGGGATAGATGGGCTCCATCATTATCTTAAAAGGACTTTTGGCGGTTGATCGCAACTTATTTGCGATTCATATCAGAGGGAATGCAAACTTTCGATTGATTCGGATCAATAGCAAATCTTTATAAGACGGGGCCCAGTTTGTGATTTATTTATTTATTTATTTATTCCATTTTATTTAAACAGGGTAGCCCCGTCAGTAATCACAGTACTGTTTTCCAGGGGCCCCTGTAAACAAATGCAACACATATGAAGATACAAACTACTTGAACATATAAACATCATCGAAAACATCAATACATAGTAACATATAACAGAAAATAAGTTAAGAATAAGAGTGAATAATGAAACAAAGCCGTAGTAAGAATTATAAATTTCAATGAGCAATTTCAAATCGATCAAAATATACTCTGATTATTATCAATGATCTGTTCAGATTTTAACATATTATTATATTGAGAAATTTATGTAGATATTGATTTAATAATAGAGGCCCGATCAACTTTAGCAAGAAGAAATATATATTTTGTTTTCAGTAACAATAATATGACCTTCTTCTTCTTCTTTCAAAATTATACTAAAATCTGTAATCATAAATGGAAGAGTAATATCTAATCTAACGCAAAATGTTTTTTTCTTCTTCCCATTAGCCTTTTCAAACTGAATTTTAATACTTAGAAGGGAAATCCTTGAGGAGAAACGGATGAAAGTTGCCAAAGAAAGAGAAGGAAACAATGTATGAGTGATTGGCATTCTATCTTACCGATTATGTTGGAACAGGTATATAGCGAAACTAAAAGTTTCGATTAATGTTCCCCAATTGCTTTACAGTTTACTTTTATGAAACATTTAGCCTACATTTTGTGCATGGGCTTGCAAGAAAAGAAGCTTCTTCTTCTCCAACTCAGTGAATATCATTGTTTTCAGCAAACTTAACATAGGGCCTAGCTGTTTTGCGACAGTGAGATAAATGTTGAAATACTTTTCTCGGTGATTTACCACGACAATTTTCTTCCTTCCATTAATTTGCATAAGTACCTGTCCACTCACCTCAGTGTATTACATAACTCATGCGACTGGGGAGGGGGGCACATTTGTGAGTGCATATAACACGGAAGCTCCGTCTACTTCGTAGTCTTTTTTCAATTTAGTAGGCCTACTTGTAAAAGAATTATTCCTCCTAAAGTCTTACATGAGTAATACACCCTATTATCCCTATAAAAAAAGGAGTTTGGTCCGTTAGCCAGTGTTCCATTTTAAGTGCTATCAACAGAAACGGCTCTCCAGTTAATCTCCCCATTCATGCTATTCATAGCTACTTTTTTAGTGTAAAAGCGGGGATTTGCGTATGTTTGGCCAAAAGCTCTAAACCTTGAAAATCAACGCAAGGAGCATCTATAGAAAAGTTCGCTTTTCGTGCACACACGATCTCTGTGACATTTTCACCACCAAACTCCATGTATCGGTATCTCCGTGCGCAATCGTACTGGGCTGTGCAGTGGAGTTACGTAGTGGCATAAATCAGTGCACAAGTGCGCAATAAATGGAAGACCTGCTAACCGCATCTCCGGCAGTTCAGTTTCTTGGAAGATAATGGAACATAAACGACGTAGAAAATGTCGGTCTTCGGCTTCTCACGAACATTCACCTTGATAAATTGCCTTCTTCTAATATCTGTGATTAACCTAGTATCGGGTAAGTGAGATGACAATGATTTAAACGATTGTTTTTAACCAGTTTTCAGGAGGATTCATGATGAGGAGGTTGCGAAGAAAGTTTGTCGTTTTGGGAGGTGGTGGTGGTATACACACAAGCGGTCGTCTGCTCATACAAGTCATACAAGTGATAAGGTGAAATCGTCTAGCAGTAAAAACTGTAAACAGCAAAAGGGGTAGGGCATGGTAATGTAGACGCTGCAAATTTGGCAAGCTTCAGCTGAGCAATTGTTTTTTTTCTGCACATTTTCCTCGTTTTTGAAACCTGTTAAACTTTTAACTACTCTTTTGGAGTAGACTAGTAAATATGTATCTGACATCTTTTTGTTTGGCTTCTAAACTTTAGGCATACAAAGCCAAAATTATTGATAATTTTCTAATTATTATAATTATTGTTGTGAAGAACAGTTAATAACACAAAATGAATGATCAGGATTTTACACTATTCAACCTGTCCATCAAGGAAAGACTTATTAGAATTGTAAATGTCTATGGAATCTTTCTTGAAAATTAATATAGTCTATACTTGAATTTAGTAATACAATTGTATTTTAAGATTTTCAAGTGAGTGGAAGATCTGAGTAACATGGACATGTAAATATAGATTTCATAATTCTTGCATTTTTTTTGCAATTAGACTTTTGCAAAAAATACAATGCAATGCAATGAAAACCTGATCTTTTTGTTTTTAGACTAGAGAAAATGGTTTTAGTCTGTTTGTTTTTTTTCTCGAGTTTTTTTGCAGGAAGGGGCTACACAAAATAACTTTTTTGTAAGATACTGATATTCTGAAAATTTGAGTATCAAATTTGAAAGAATATAAAATTTAAATGACAAAATTATCTCTGTATGATCAAAGTTGGTTCGATTAGAGACAGCTGAAATATCCATAAATATAACCATTTCTGATATTTTTGGGGCCCCACAAATATTCATCACTTTTGAACCAGCCGTTGAAAAACGAGATAGCACCTTTTACGTTGTATTCCAGCTATTGACAATGTTGGCTTTTTTGTGTTGTTTTTAATACACACAAACAATGCAAACCAGCCGGCCTGTACTGTATTGTTAATTATTATTAGTTAATTATTTAATTAACTGTCACCATATTATTTTGAAAATGGAGCTGAATTGGTATGATTGTGTTTTAATCTAAATTTCACACATTTTGTGGTCTAAAATTACCTTCATAGCAATTGGGTCCTAAAAGGGCACTATTTATGCCATAATTAAGAATAAGAGCAATAACCATGCACTTTGAAGACATTTGCGGTCTTAAACAAGAACTCAACTATCTCTTTAAGCTTTCTAGACTTTTAGATTGCTCATGCATTTATCTCTTTATATGCCACACAAATAATCTCTGTGTAACACATTGAATTTGCCATGGGATAGATATCAAAGGCTTCAAAAATTTTCAGTGCAGTATTAATCCATAATCAAGATAAGGGGTTGTCATTGAGATAGTCAAGAACTAAAATTGGTAATTTTGCTAAGCCATTGTGTTGCACAAAGCAATCCTTCTATCACATGGTGCCTATTGTTTTGTGCAACTTTGCATGTGTCGTAATCAAGCGACAGTGCAGAGAGGCAAAGAGTTTTGTTTTTGTGTATAATCATGATTTGTGAATCAAATCTTAAATATTCACTGCAATAAGCCAGTTCATACTAATAGTTCATACTGTAGTTGCAGTCTAAGCATGAGCAGATAAAGGTTATTGCAGACCAAATTGTGAAATACACCAAGACAAAATACTGGATACATGCTCATGAAAGTTCTGTAATCATTATTCATTTATGCACAAGCAGTGCACTCCATGATATGGAAGTATTCTTTGAAAAAGGGAAACAAAGGCTATTTATGTAGCACCTCTATCGCTGTAGGAGTCATCATTCAAAATGTACTAAGTGGAACCTCTTCATGTTTTGAAGATCTGTGGATATTCAGAGTCATTTGGATTTGGGAGATATGCTAACCATGAACTGGTTTATTACATGTCTCTTAAAATATACATGTTTCTCTTATTTTAGGTGACCAGTGGTATAAAGGATGTGCATGGTCCAATATTACAACATCGGATCCAAGCTATGTTGTGCAAGAAAATGTTGCAGCCACACCAACAACATGTTGCTCACAATGCTATCAAAATGGGTAAGCGTTTTGTCATCTTAAGTAATGAATATTTGTTGCTTTCATCTCTATAACGTAAAATATTAAATAGTCATTTAAAATAGAAAATTAATGCCCATCGAAGGAAAAAAGAAAAATGCATAGGGCTAAAGAATGATTTAGGTGTGGAAAGTGGGGAGCTTTCATACATTTCTGGAAAGAAAAAAAACGAAGAGTAAACAAAAAAGTTATAATGAGTTTCACGTTTTAAAATGAATTCTTATCCCTCAGCACTATTTAATGTATTCATCAATTTGTTAAATTTGAAATTTTATGAAGCTTTATTTGACCCAATTAAAAATAGCTTTCACATCTAGCTGGTATAATCTTGTGTAGAAGATATGAGAATTGTTAAAGAAAAATTGTTACTCAGATACACGAGCTACATGTACTCTTTTTCTTGGAGAATTTTTTTTTTCTTTCTTAAGGCCCTTGTCCCATTCAAATTAGGAGCATGTCTGATGTCAGTTCATAAAGAAAATGATGGAAAGTTTTCTGTCTGATTTCTGTACAGGATCATCAAACAAATATTAGAAATCAGAATGTGAAAATATTTCTTACTTGGTACAGTTTGAATCTTCAAGCAGCTCCAATTGAAAATCAAAACTTTTTTGCAAATTTATGTATTTTTTGAGAAAAAAAGAAAGAAAAGGGATATTTGCAACAGTTCCTTGAGGCCAATCATGGTAATAAAAAACTTGACCGTCAAGTACATGACATGTCTTAAATTTGTAAGATGGAATTAAACATTGTCAGTATTATAATTTATATAGCTGTTGTCTGTTGATCTTCTAAAATAATAAAATTTGTTTAACAAATTGTGACATACCATGAAATATGAAGTTAGCTATCAACCAGATCACAAAAGATGGAAATAACAAAAGATGAAAACTTGTCTCACAGAGTCTCATTAGCGTCAAATTATGTACATCTAAGATTGTTGCTTGTCTAGTAATGTTATTTAAGTATAATGATATTGACAGCTGCAAGTAAACTGGGATATAAATTATAATACAAATACTATTTTTTTTCTTCTTCTTGCCAGGTTTGTGTATGCAGCTATTGGGAATAGTGCATGTTGGTGTGGTGATGATATAGATACTTCTTTTGGAGCTCCTGATAACAACTGCAATGAAATGTAAGTGTTTTTCTTTTTGGTAACAATACAATGTATGTCGATACATTTTAACAAGTTTTATTTGATAATATCAGAAGTAGTATGTTCCTGCAATAGTTTTCAAGAGAGTTTGTGGTTTTACATTATGCGCACAAATTATCATTTTTTGTTTAAAACACACAGTAAGGGATTAAATATTTTATTTTCAATTCAATTAAATTCAATTTGTTTATTTCGATTCTAGCATATATGTTAAAATACATAGGTAAATACATGAAATAGATATATATATATTAGTGTAAAAAATAAACAGTATGATACAGTACAAATTTTAAAAAAATAGATTGGTTGGAATTAAAATGGCCATTTTCTTTTTATTCTTGATGTCACATATTAAATGTTTTAAGAAGTGAAAATCTCTAGTTTTTTAAAGTTTGCATGTACAATGTATTAGTAGCAGAACTATCTCTTAGATTACAGATTGTATCGGTCATTATGGTCATACAAAAATTATAATGTTATGCTTGCATTGTTTTACATTTTAAAAACATTAAATTGATCTTTAGTTTCTTTTGTTTCACGTTTTCAGATGTGAAGACGAAAGGCCTGAGTTACCGTGTGGCAGTACAGATACAGTCAGTATCTATGGCACAGAAGGGCCATACCTCCTTCACCTTACTCTCTCCAAAGGATCCGCTACTGTACAGACTGGTATCACTTCTCTCTTCGATGCCAGAATAGAACTGGCTGGGGCTACTGACACAGAAATTGGTAAGTGTCTCATGCGATGTAAGAAATGCTTTCTTGTTATTTGAGTGAATTTCTTTGTGGATTTGAAGTTGTAAAGATGTGCTTTCCCAAAATTTAATTGAAGTGTTTTATTGTTTTGTTTACCAGAGCTACATATGTATTTCAGATTACAAGAGCGCTTTTTGAGCTCATAAGAGCTAAATTACTTATCTCTCCCATGTATTTGTGTTCACTGGTCTCAAACAAAAAAAGCAAGAGAGAGAGAGAGAGAGAGAGAAAGTTGGTATGTTTGTGTAGTTTGTGTGTGTGTGTGTGAGAGAGAGAGAGAGAGAGAGAGGGAGAGAGAGGGAGAGAGAGAGAGAGGGAGAGAGAGAGAGAGAGAGGGAGAGAGAGAGAGAGAGAGAGAGAGAGAGAGAGAGAGAAAGTGTGAATTTGTTCTAAATGCATCTTGGGAATTTGGACAGAACGACCAGGGATCACTGAACTCCCATCACCTTTTCAAGCTATAACCATGGCGACTGAGCCAAACAAGTTTGAAGAACTCTGTTATGGTCCTTAATTATTCCATATTTGATTTATATGGCACTGCCATTGACTCAGTGGAGCACAATAAAGTACATACATGTAGCTTATTGTGTATTATTTGGTTTTTGTTTAATGCTCTTTTTTGTTGTTGATGCATACATGAGCACATGGAGTTACTGTATAATATACAGCACGTACCAGAAAAGAAGAGAATTATTAATAATAATAATAATAATATGGATATTTTTATAGCGCCGGTATCCGCCAGGCTCTGACACTCATGGCGCTGTACATACATGTATTACTATCACAAAAAATATAACTTTCTTAACTAAAATAAAGTAAACTAAAACAACACAAATTATTACGCTACATTGACATGATTAAAGGTACTATGTCCCTTTTGCAGCCAACCTTAAATTCTGTAGAACTTTGCAGGAATTATGAATATGTCATGTATGTCCTATCTGTGAATTTAAATGTTAGCAGTGTCCTCATATTCAAATCATGCAAGGAAACCCGTTTACTTGCTAGACTTCACTGTCAGACACTATTGAGTGACTGACTGGCTTTTTTCTTCTTTGGTAATAACATACATGGAAAGAGTTGTAAAGGGTACATGAGCATTTGTCTACATCAATAACCCACTTCTTGTGATGGCCAAGATTAAACTGATTGAATCTTTGTGCAGCATAAAACGTATGACCATTCGGTACAATTGTCTGAAAATCAAGACTATTACTTTTGGGCTCTATAGCCCTAAAGTCGATTTGACAACTAATAGTCATTATTTTCCCACTTGAAGACATTTTCAAGCCCCACCTTTTTTAGGGAAGTTCTAAATAAATATCTTTCAAATGCAGTTGGAATTTAACTTTTTCATTTTTTTTGGCCTGCAAATGGGACATAGTACCTTTAAATAGCACTGTTTAGAAAGAGATGGGTTTTTAGAGCAACTTTGAAGGCATGAAGGGTAGTTAAATTACGAATACTAAGTGGCAGCTTATTCCAAAGGGACGGACCAGAATGAGAAAACTGCGCGTCTTAGGGACAACTAATAAGGAGGATTGAGATGAACGAAGATGTCTTGTAGGCTTATACTTAACTTAACAATCAACTTGATATTGTAGGAAGGAGCAGAGTCATACAAAGAATGGAAAACTAGCAACAACAACTTAAAAATAATTCGGTCACATACCAGGAGCCAGTGAAGAGTTTTGAGAATGGGGGTGATGGGGGTGATGTGGGTTCTATTGATGTTTTATTATACCTTAATCACAATTATAATTGATAAACGACACATATTTGTAAAGCTTAGATCCTACTCTTTCATGTTGTGCATACTGCAAAGGCAGAATTATCGCGCAATACATGCATATAAGTAGAAATACTGATATCATGCCAGTGACTATTTTGCTTAGCTCGGACCTTACAATAATAGAAATGGTTCTACATGTATAAACTTTGTATTACATGTACTTGCATGTGGCCTGCTACTGTAAATGCAAGAATAGGAGTATAGGAGGGCTGGAGACCCAAAGAAGGTGTCTGTACTGACTACTCTGGATGTACCGTAGGTGGGAATTTAGGAGGAAATGGAGAATCTGGAGAATCTATCTGTCCCTGCCAAAAAGAAAACTTTTTAGTACAGTTCAGAAGAGAATGGGACTGTGATTCCTCATCAAGTTTTTGTTTTAAAAGATTGACTTTTTCTCCAGCCATATAAAGATGGGCTTGGTGGAGTATTCTCTGTGGATATCAACTAAGGATTTATGGATTTGATTTTGAAACTTGGTATCAATTTGGACTTCAGTTTACTCTAAATCGGATGATACCCTCACAGAGGACCTATTGTCATCTGTATTTCTAGGTGGATTATGAATTATCTCTTTGACTTTGCTGAGAGATTTCACCTAAATCCAGTTGTCTTTTCTGTTGATTGGATAAAATCTTCCTTTCGTCCATTGTTTCCAAGCTACTAACTTGAAGCATCTGTAGTATCTGTACAATTGCTTTCTCTATAATAGAATATCCATTTGTAGGAATAGGTCAGAAAGTAAAACGAAAAAGTTTTTTTCTTGATTTTGTCATTCCATTACACGTAGGTGGTGAGTCACAGAGTTGTAAGCTGTTTTTGATTGATTACCATTTTGAATTTCCTATTTTTCTTATTCCTTTATCTGAATTTCCCCGAACTATATTTGGGCCTGTTGCACAAAACTTGCCATTGATGGTAACTCTGCAATCAATGGTAACTACCATGGAAACCTTGGTTTTGATTGGCTGTTGAGCCCTGTTACCTGGTAGTTGCCATTGATGGTATTAGTTTTACGCAACAGGCTCTGATCTGTTTTTATATATTTTTTAACTTTCAATACCGCAAAATCATCAATATCAGATAGACCTTCCCTTTAATGCACACAATAAGGCCTACTGGTGGTCTCTGATAATGAGGTTTTCAACCTTTTTTTAATAGTCATGGCAACCTTTTTAGAAATAAAAGGTTTCTTGTTACCTCTCATGATCCAATTCTAAGTTTATCACAGAAAATATATTAAATCGCTGTGGCACCTGTCAAGCAAGTGCCATGTGCACACTCAGTCACTCATGGGTAAAGCTGTTTGTTAAAAAAAGAAACCTATTAAAAAAAAGGGAAGTATGTTTTGGTCATTTAAAAACGCAAAAAGAAACTGCAACTCATGGGACATTTTGTTTGCTCAATTTCCCTCTGTTCTGTTTCCATCAATTATAGGAGCATTCTATTGGATGTGTGGCACTCTTTAATTGTTTTTATCCATTTCTTTCATTTAAATTTCAGTTGCATATCATTTCTCTTTTCACCAGCATTACATGGACATCATATTCATATAACCTTACATAACCTATGGGTCTATAATATTCAAAACAATTCCATTCAATTCTTTTATTTTTCCTCTTTAAAATTTTCATATTTTTCATATCCACCATGAAGCTTGAGTACTTGTAATCATAGTTGGCTATGCTTTTTTTTAATGCTAAACTCAATTTTAGCAAACACTGCTACAGTTGATAGGAGACAAAGTTTCTCACTTCGAAAGGACAATGTCATGACAGTGTTAGTCCAATCTGCTTCTGTAAGAAAGAATAGTAACATCCACACCAATGTCCATTTTCCCCACCAGGTATCTTGAATGTGGCCACCACAGACCTGCAGTATGTGAACTTTACCTGGTCAATCAACGGCAGTGTGGTCAAGGGTTCCATCAAAACGGTCACCAATACGTCCACTACGTCCAGCCTCATCTATACCTTTCATCAAGTCGGAGCCTGGTTCATAGGTATGTTCTATGAAATTTATTTTTAGTGTTGTTTATCGATTTTATTAATTTAATTATTTTGTGTATTGTTTGCTAAATTTATTCAGCTGCCCTCTGTTGTACAAGCCTTATGATTTATCTTTTGTGAAGGTAGGCCTTCACTTGTTTATATACCCATTTCATGTCATTCTGTTTTTAATTGTTTTTGCATGGTGATGGATGATTAATAAAATTGACACAAATTTGTCAGTTTTCCTCTCATACAAGCGCAGATAAACCTTTGTACATTTGTATAAGGAACAAAGCTATAGCAAACTCTTGTTTTAACCTGTTTGTTTGAGACCCAAAAGTTTTGTAAATTGTGTAGAACAGCTTTTTTCATCAAGAAACTTTTGCAATCAGGGTGAAACCTGCATGCTATATAAATATGGAGTCCAAAATGTGGTTATTTACCAGAGTTGGCAGACTTGATATTTTCTAGACTTGAGCAACTATTTCTGCCATCCGTCGTCGAAAACTTGTTTGGCCATTTACATGTACACAAAAGTCTCCCAAATCCTTGTTAAAGGTATTATGTCCCTTTTGCAGCCAACCTCAAATTCTGTAGAACTTTGCAGGAATTATGAATATGTCATGTATGTCCTATCTGTGAAATTTAAACATTAGCAATGTCCTCATATTCAAATTATGCAAGGAAACCCGTTTACTTGCTAGACTTCACTGTCAGACACTATTGAGTGACTGACTGGATTTTTTTCTTCTTTGGTAATAACATACATGAAAAGAGTTGTAAAGGGTACATGAGCATTTGTCTACATCAATAACCCACTTCTTGTGATGGCCAAGATTAAACTGATTGAATCTTTGCGCAGCATAAAATGCATGACTATTCGGTACAATTGTCTGAAAATCAAGACTATTACTTTTGGGCTCTATAGCCCTAAAGTCGATTTGACAACTAATAGTCCTTATTTTCCCACTTGGAGACTTCAAACCCCACCTTTTTTAGAGAAGTTCTAAATTAGTATTATCTTTCAAATGCAGTTAAAATTTAACTTTTTCATTTTTTTGGCCTGCAAATGGGACGTAGTACCTTTAAAGAGTACAGGATCTACATGTACTTATCATGTTGTTTCTTATTAACTTTGCCTGAGAAAGAAGGAGGGTAGAAGAATGGGCAGTCTCTAAATAAATACAAAGGTATTTGAATGAATCACAAGAAAGTTCCAGAAAAAGCGATGGTAGTTTATGCAGCATCAAAATTATACAAACTAAATCCCAGTCCTATTAGGCCTGTCTTCATCAGCTTGAGTTTGCCAAATAACTCGCTATTTTGACTATCCCAATCGCAAATTAACCATTTAATTTGCTTCCTCATCAGCCTTGCGTTTCAATTAGCGGGATATTTGGTTGAGAAAATATCCCGAGAAATCTTGGTCTTATTTCCAAAATATCCTGCTATTTGGCAAACAGCGGGCTTATTTGGCCGTCCGAGCTAGTTTGTGATGAGTGGTCTGGTGAGGAGGCAATTTCAAGCTTCGGGGTAATATCCAGAGTCTGAAAATAGCGGGTTATTTAGCAAACTCGAGCTGATGAAGAGAGACCAACTCTGCATACATGTCCACTGACAGTAGCAATTGAGATTCTTGCTGTTGTGAAACTTATTTGCTTGATGCAAACATTTCTCTGGCTTCTTGGAACAATGCAGCAGTACTTGTGCTCTCCATGTAGGAAGATATACATTGCTCACTCACAGACATGTCTTTCAACCTTTTCATCTGTTTGTGCGAAGGCTGTTCGGATGAAAGGGGGGAAAAGTTATGTAACTTTAACAAACAGGCTTGTTGATCATTTAAAAACTGGCACAGTTATCGCTCATTTGACAAAGGCTTACATTTGTATCTTTCAATTGGGGGCAAGGATTGTGGAATAGAAAGTTTGATTATTACAACCTAGACTGCCTTCAATCGCTACACATGCATGGTTAAAAAAATAGCTCTAATAAATACAAAGTACTCTCTTTAAAAAATTTAAAATTTTTTTTCACTCTATTTTCACTTTCTTGGGAGTGACGTCCGTGATCACTTGTTTAGGAGTGAAAATCGATTGATTTTAGAGTGCTCTCTAAGAAGAAAAGAGTGAATGTTCACTCTATTTTCACTACATTTTCACTCTCCAGAGGAGTGACGTCCGTGATCACTCGATTTTTTTTAGAGAGTATATATCATTTTTAGAGTTCCATGTTTATGAAGAGGGAATTATTAACCCTTTACTTTTTAATGGCATTGGTCAACTAACGGAACACACAATGAAGTGCCACAATTAACTTTTGTCACAGATATAGTTATAAATTCCTAAACTATTTGTTAGTCCAGGGGGTGTTTCACAAAGAGGCTGTTCACACCGCAATGAGATAGCGCGGTCTATCGTAGCACCCCCTTTTTTTCTAGCGCGCTCTCTCTCGTAGACCACCCCCAAGAGGTGCTCCAGTGGCACGCCGTTTTGGCTCGCCGTGGCTCGCTGTTGGGCGGACCGAATCGACGTTGTCCCTTCCAAACCGCACAGATAGCGCGGTCTAGCGCGCACTATCTCTGCCGGTGTGAACAGCCTCCAAGACCCTAAGTTGAATTTATCTCTAAGTTGGACTTAACTATCATGGAAAGCTGTTAGCATCTTTGAAAATATTTTGTATAAGTTATTTTAAAGGCATAAAATGTTGATTCAAGATTTCATGTTCTTGATGTGGAATTTATGAAAAGTCTAAGATTATAGAATTTTTGGTAGTTAATATATTTTATTCTAAGGCTACAAATGGCTCTCCATAATGTTTAAGTCCAACTTAGAGTTAAGGTCGACTCTGGATCTTTGTGAAACACCCCCAGGCCCTCAAGGGTTTCAGTCATATTATTCTGGCTCTCATCAGATCAGATGATAACAAATATTAAAATAATAAACTGCTCTTGTATATAGACCACATTATGATATAATGTCCCTATGTGCTTCCAGAGAAATTTGGATATTACAATCCTGGCTTTAGCTGGTTTTTGGTCTTAGCTGGCAAACTATAGGAGGATTTATGGGGAAACATTTCATGGCCTAGGCTAGTAGATCATGTAGATGTGGTCTAAAAATTAAAAATCCTGTTCACTGTGTTCTCTTCCTGCAGGAGTGACTGCTAGCAATGCCATCTCACAGCGCGCTGCCACCACAGTCCTTCACGTGGTACAGCCCGTGCCCTCTGACCTCCAGGTCATTCTGCGGCCAGGTCAGGGCAACATCCCGTCCTGCGTCCCCGAACATGACAACCTCATGTCCAATCTTCCCGCCGTTGCGGTCTTTGTTGACGAGCCGGCCGAGTTTCAGGCCTACCTCTCGATTGGGGTCAACCTGACGTTCGACTGGTGGTTTGGTGATGACGGGAGTCGTGTGACCTCGGCGCCGTACCTGGAAGACGGGGAATCGTGTGACCTCATCATGTGTCTCCACTCCCATCAGGTAACATTTATTTATTTGACACCTGTAGGCAGGGAGAGTGAAAGTGAGGGAGAGATAGAGAGTTAGGGAGATAGAGGAGATGGAAAGGGAGGAAGTGAGAAAGAGAATGGCGCAGGTAACAGAAAGGGAGAGAGGGGGAGAGAGAGAGAGAAAGAGAGAGAGAGGGACAAACATATGGAGTTAGTCCATGTCACATTTCTATAATTTGGTCATAAAAGAACATACCACCTGTTTATGATCTTTGTTATGAAATCATATACAACCCTTTTATAACATCATAAAAAATGCAGCGTGTCCACACACAAAACAATTTATCCCGAAACTCTATAACGAAAGGTCGTATAAATAATCATCGTATAAATGCCAGGATGTCCACACACAGAAGAAAGTAATCCTGAAACTCTACAGCGAAATGTCGTATAGGTGCTCAGTTTGCTACTGCGGTCATGAAATGGAAGCGAAAATGAGAGGTCTGGTCTCCTTTTGCTCGAGGTCACGTTAAGCCCCGCCCAGTTAGTTATACTAGTTACACTCCCCCTGTCCACACACAACATTTTCCATGATTAGGCGTGATTAGGCGTGATTAGGCGTGATTCTTTATTGAGTTTCAGTTCGAAACGATGCCCAAACCTGCGTTTCGTTAGACTAGTTTCGTTATACGACGTATCGTTAGTGAGCGTCCACACACACAATTTTCATCGTAAAACTATCGCAAAACGGTATCACTATCGCGAAACGTTATAGCTAATCACGCCTTATGACGGAAAATGTTGTGTGTGGACAGGGGGCAAGTAGCATATCTATGTCCCTTTCCAATGACTATATGAGATATTAATTGAGATCATTACACTCATTTCTTTTGGAGTGTTTGATTTATGCTGTGTGCTGGTAATAAAGAGTACCATTGCATGGGTGGAGGATTGCCAAACTTCACTAATCTGTTAGTTCGGTCAGTAACCTGTTTTTCAGGACTGGTATTAGTAGGCATGTTTTCATCAGCTCGAGATTGCCAAATAGTCTGTTATTTCTGATTTTGGAAATAAGCCTGAAGTTACAAATCGCTTCTTCATCGGCTCAAAACCCGAAACTCAATTGCGAATCTTCGGGCTGGTAAAGACGCACCGGACAAATAGTGGAACATTTTTCAAACTAGCCCAAGATATCTTGGGATGATTATCTCGACCAAATATCCCGCTATTTGCAACTGCGGGCTGATGAGGATGCAAATTAGCTGGATAATTTGTGATCGGGCTAGTTAAATTAGCCTGCTATTTGGCAATCTCAAGCTGATGAAGACCGGCCTTTTGTCATACTTTGAGGAGCTGTTTGAGTTCAGGGAATCCAAGATCATACTTCTTTATTTTTTTAGGTAAATCAGATTTACAAATTTAGTGTTTCTTCAATAATATGAGATATTAATTGAGGTCATTACACTCATTTTTGTTGAAATGTTTGATTTATGTGGTGTGCTGGTAATAAAGAGTGTTATAAAATGGGTTCAAGAATGTAGCCAATGAGAAGTGTCAAAATAGATCACCTGTGCGTCCATTAATTTTTACGATAAATGGACGGGGAGTGCATTTTGGTAATAACAACTGTCAATTTTTCAACTTTATACTGATATTGTAGACCCATCTTATAAAACAAATAATCATCATGTTTTAGCTCGTGTATAAAGTGATAGTATGCACTGCACTTGGTTAAGTCTAGACAATGAGATGAACAATGTCTTGTTTATTATCCTACTGTTTCTTTAACAATTTGGTTGCTTTGGTTGCTACCACAAGTGCAATTTTGCCCAAATCAATAGGCACCCACTGTTGGAGATGTATATTTATATATATATATATATATATATATATATCTCCAAAACAATGAATATATATATACCCAATATTGTTTATCAGTCGGCAATTAGTCTGACAATTACTGCCCCTTACCCTTGGAAGACTAAGAAAAACTTTTTGACAAGAAGGTTTTTGAAGCAGCAGCGTAAACCTCTAGCCTATCAAAATGCTCAGGATACCAATCGCCAACAGACCTCTACCAACCTTATAAAGACTACCACAAATCTCTCATTGACCTCTGACATCAAAGTCCCGACCGGACCACTGGTTGTCCTGATTCAGGGACCGGTCGTACCTGTAGTGTGAATGAAGCTTTTGGCACAGAGTTTGACGGAGCATAATTTTGATTCCAGAAATCTGCACTTTACTGTTCAGACTTTAATTACATGTACCTCATCATATTCATGCACATATTTTTAAAATCAAAAATGTGTGGTAAATACAGCGAAAGAATAGCATGACTCAATATACCATAATTTATGACAATAAATCAATCATTACATATTATTGTTAAATCACAAAGAAGTATTTTGGGTTTGCACTATGTTGAAACATGTTTAAGACAGGGGCCCTATTTACAAGCACAAGTTGCTTCTTAGGTTTCCTGGCCTATTTTATATTCTGTATACTTGATTTGTACTTGATCTCATGATGCCAAATATAATTGAAGTGAATTGAATTGAATTTAAAGGTTTCATCATGACAAACATGAGGATTAACTAGAAGTTAGTTAATATGAAAGAACACTCATTGTTCTCCCACAATAACCAGGTTTCTACTTGAATATGCAGTCTCAATTCCCTCTGTTTATTACAAGAATAATTAGGCCAACTGTTTGTCTTGGTATAACGTTACTTGCAGTGTATAACTTTGTACTGACAGTGTAGCTTTAAGAGATTGCAAAACAAGAAGTGATATCATGTCAAAGTTTATGTGAAGATTTTTTGTAATCTGGGTAGTAACCAAGCCTAAAGTACAAGAGCATGCATGCCTCAAATTCATTTTGTGCCTTACCATCCCTTCCCTCCCGTAACCAGATTGTTCCTGCATGAAAACCATAGCAACCATGAGAATTCAGTAGTCAATGGGTTAGGATGACGTATAACGCCATCCTGAGTTGACCAATTTGTATCAAGGAGAAATGTTGTTTAACCAATTTTTATAGTAAATGTATTTCCTCACATTTTTGGGAGAAACATATTTTTTTTATCCTTCTCTAATCTTTAGGGTACAGAATGAGGGGGGGGGGGGTAGACATAGGGGACCTGTTCAAATCATTTGTCAAAATATTATACCTACAGGCATCTGTTTTATAATAGAACACTGCCTCAGATACATATCAGCGTTTGAATAGTCTTCATTATACTCCGATAATACCCTCACTCAAGAGAATATAATTTTCGGGTTATGAGGAAACCACATCACAATGTCTGTCACCGCCTCAATTACTGGAGGACAAAGTTGCCCATTACAGCCGCTTTTCTTTTCAGATCAGCCCAATGAAAGCCCAATGAATGAACCGTCTGTTTTGATTTGCCTGGAGTCAATTGCCACTAAACCAATGTCACTTAACCCCAGATTTTGATCGGGGCTCAAAGGCCAGCTTCACACTACTCTGAGTTGTTGCTTCTTGTGGAGTCTAGATTCTGGGTGATTTCATTTAAATAGTTTCTCCACCAATTCGATCCTACCTTACTTGTTGTAAGCTAACAATAGCAGGGTCCCTGACTTTGTACTTCTGGCTCAAAAAGCAGTTTACAGTATTGATTGAAGCAAGTTCTCTCTAAATAGATTTCCAGATTCGATTCAAGCAAGTTTCTAATTTTGAATTACACTCTTCATAGGAAATACATAGACTTATCGAAACGTCATTGGAAAACTATCCTGTTAAAGGTAGGCCTGTGGGGATGGAATGGATTCCTCTCTCCATTCATGGCTTCAAGAGATAATATATATTAATGAAACTTGGCAAATAGGGAGAAAATATTGATAACATTGATGTATTTGAATGCTGTACGGTAGGGCTGCGACGTGTAGTCGAATGCTCGAGTAAGCGCACGGTTGACAACTACTCGGGTACGATTTCTCTTACCCGAAAAATCGGCAAAAAAAAAAAAAAAAAAAAAAAAATATGTCCAGGCCGATGCTTACCCGTGCCTGGGTGAGCGGCGGCCGCTGGCATGGTGCCGTCGGTAAAAATGTTTCCCAACTCAAGCATTGTCAAACTCACCACTCAGAAACTGGGACCACATGTCTGGATTTCTGTTTGGACTTGGAGGAAAATGGATTATTCTGTCATCTTTGGTTTTTAAAACAGCATTGTTTACTGTTATTATGATTATTAAATCGGCACCTTCAACTGCAACTCGAAGTAAAATTGCATGCGTTTTTGGCGACAGAACTGGGAAACTGCTCCAAAGGTATGGTGGTGGCAAACAAAAATTAAAAACAAAAAAAAATCAAAAAAATTCAAAAAAAATCAAAAAAATTCAAAAAAATTCAAAAAAATTATAAAAAAACATGGCGTCCGAATATTCGAGTATTCACTTGTAAGCCTGGGAGTGTACTCTGGTACCTCATTACACTGTTGTGTACAGCCTTTCTGTACAGGTTAATACATGTTCAGAATTGGTAAGTATTGTACTCGCAAGCTTTTTGAAGCAAAGGAAATGGCTGTTCAAATGTAATTCCTTGACTGCTTCAACACCCAAACTAGAACAACACTCCAATTTGTCTGTCATCTTGGTTTGAAAGCAATCTTTGTAATAGATCTCGATATGTAGTTTATAATAATAATTCCTCCAATATTTCTTCTATTACACATGGCATACCACAAGGTTCTATCCTAGGTCCTCTGTTTTTAATTTGCATTAATGATCTTACATATTCTTCTAAAATCGACATTGTTACTATTTGTGACAAGTTCACAAGCACAAATCGGCGCCTTCAACTGCACATCACAGTTAAATGAAAGTCCTTCCCGCGTGGTAAAATGGAATTGGAGATATCTGTGATGTTACAACACTAATTTCGGGCTTCAGTTTTAATTTAAACACAAGAATTGAAAGCTCCCTTAAAGATAAAGATCAGTTCTGGTCATGCGATTGCATTGTGAAAGAAACGTTGTGGAATCGATCAGAGAAGGTTGATCATCTAGCATATAAGTATTGGTGTGTACTGCAAGGATCTGGAATCATTAAAATGATAAGAAATTTGGCCCAGTCTTGGTAAAGTTACAAGCACCATATACAGAAAGATGTTTATGGGACTATGCACACATGCACGACACATGCGTTTTATCTATCACATAACAATAGATAAACTAATTTACCAAATATATCAATTAGTAGGCGGTTTCCCGGCAAATTTTTTTATCATCATGTAGTCAAAACATATTCTTTCACATGATTGGTAATAAGTGCTTCCATTTCATTTTTTTGAAATTGGGGCGTTTTTAATACTGGTCTTTGCCTTTAAGTTCTGAACTGTCCCAGTTTTTATTGTATTAAACTAAGACCTGAATTTCTTGATGATTTACTGTCTACTCCAGACAGCCCTGAGATTTCTCAATAAATTCACACTTGTTTGTAAAGAGAACTAGAATTATGGAAAATGTAATTTAAACAGAGAGTCATACAAACTCCATCAAAAGGAAGCACAATAGACATAAAATGCAAACAACATGCCCTACTGTTAACCTGATGACTATTAAAAACCTGCCCCATAGGCTTTTTACTGGAATGACCCAGTTCCTGTATGCAGGGTACTCAGTTTAAAAGGGCTTTTAGGTATGAATGTATTAGCAGGTGACATTAAAACAAAACTCCCTTGTGGCCATTTCAACCAGTTTTTTCAACCAGGACAACACAATGGCATATTTTGGGTGTTCTCCTTTTATATGAACCCCCAAAATAGGTCCGTCTCCATTTGCCCAGGTTTTGAAAATGCACAGCCCATTTATTCTGATCTGGCCAAATTAGTCCAAACAAAGCTACACGGGTATCTGGTAGCTCAAGCTACATGGAATTCACAATTAAGATGAAAATAGCACATTTTGTTTTTAAGGCTTGGGCTTGTTTGAGAAACCCAATATTTTGACAATCAGCTGAAGAGCTTGCTGTTTAAAAGACACTAGATCGTAGGCTCATTTATACTGCAGAAAAACCAATATAGAAAAACCATCGTTGAAAACTAAATTTTACACTACTAGAATTACACCCCTTTATAAACTGTGTCAGTGAAGTAAAGCAATCTATAGACATGAATTTAGATGACCATGTTGCTTTGAGCAGTGCCAATCAGTCTATCATCTCAAGCTTGTGGTTGGGTGGGCTGGGCTAGTGGTGATGCACCTAATGACAAATGTAACCTACTTAAATGTAGCCCAGACAATGAACTGCTGTTCTACTACATAGACTAAGAAAAGCAGGCAAAGTATTAAACACAATTTATAAGAGAGGCAGAAAGTTCAAAAGAAATATGTATAAACAAATGTTTCACTAAAATTGGGGGGGGGGGGGGGGCAGATATGGAGAAAGAGGACGACAGAGAGGGACAGTGATCAGGGAGGGAGAGAGAGAGAGAGAGTCACATACACATACACACACACACACACACACGCACACACGCACACACACACACACACAGACAGAGGTGATTAGGGAGAGACGGAAAAAGAGCAAAAAAGAGAGCAAGAGAGTGAGCGAGAGGGAGAGAGAAAGAGGGCAAAGGAGAGATAGGGGGAAAGGAAGATGTGGAGAGGGAGGAAGAAATGGGAGCAGGTAGTGGGAGAGAGGTTGGGAGAAAGAGATAGAATGGAGGGATAAAGAGAGAAAGTAATTGAGAAAAAGAGAAAAGAAGAGATGAGATGGAGGGAAGAGGATAGGGGAAAGAGAAAGAGAAAGAGAAAAAAGGGAGTAAAAGACTGAAGTGAGACATGGTGGAGAATGGGACAAAAGTTATGAAAAGAATAAAACTCTATTAAAAGTAAGGAAAAAAGTGGTGAATGCTTTCCAGGATTTCTGCATTAAGGCAAAGTTCACACGTGGGTCATTGATGATCAGTTTCTGTAATGCAGAAATACTATGAGTTAGGTTCACACGACAGCCTTTTACCTTTAAGTTTAGGTTCTGGAATTAAACCTCAAAGTGATCTTGTAGTGTAGAGACCATGCCAACGCAGTCATGTTTATGAAACTTTAAGTTTACTCAAAGTTATAAGCTACAAGTGATTGTAAGGTTAGTGCAAGAACTACGATCAGCAGAGGGTCCTCACTTGAAGTTATGTGCCATGCATAAGCAATTAACTTGGTAGTTAAAACATTGAATATTTCTCTGGCCGGCTGGCAGAAGGGCGTTAGCGCGGGAGCGACTCGAAAACTACTTTTCGCATTTAAAGATTTGTTTTATATTTAAACTGCTTTTCGTCCCGAAAATTGGTTTAAACTTAAAAGACTAATAGAAATGTTAAAGTAGAACACGGCAACAATTTTTTTCTTGGAAATAAGTCAGTTTTATAAAATTTTGAGGCATTTTTAGTGCTAACGCCCTTCTGCTTAACGCTCCATTTTTACCTGAAATTCAAACTAATGCCCTTCTGCCAGCCAAGCGACGACTTGTTGTCTTGGTCCCTTAATGAGAACCTTCATCGTTCATCGGGAATCATTGTTTTTAACTTTTAAGGTTTGCAAATGTAAAGTTTAAAACTGCTATCGCCTCGTGTGAACATGGCTATTGCTTCAAGATTGATGCTATCAAAAGAGATCCCAGATGATTTATGAGGATGGGAAGGAATTGTCTAGAGAATATGCCATCCAAACATCCCATTCATCACTTTTTGATATTTTCTGAATGATGCCGCCACTAGATAAAAGTTCAGATTAAAAGATAATCTCAAGGAGATTGTGTGATTTAAAAGCATTATTGAAATGAAAAAACATCAAACTTTTAATGACTTAGTTGAATAAAAAATGCATATTTTAGTATTAATTTTGCAACCATCATTAAACAATGTTAAAGAGGAAGTCCATTGTGGAAATAAGAAGAGAGATAAGAGAGAGATCAGCGAAAGTGTGTTGAAAATCTGTTAAACTAAAAGTTACTATTTGTAAATGAATCAATCAAACCCAAAATATGCCTGGCCTTTACAAAGCAAGAGTAATTATTACCCAATATGAAAATACTGATGAGCATTATACTCACAGCTACACATAAGTAGACCCATTGATATTTTTATATAAAGGATAGCCTTTTACAGCATCCAACTTTACAAGAAAATTGGGAAATTGTAATTACTCCTTTAATTCCCGGGTTAAGAGAGAGATACGATGGGCATGACATTGGCCTATCCAGTGTGGGCGGCAGTGGGTGGGTTATTTGTAGGACTGTCCTTTGTACAGCCACACAGAAGTTCTTGTTTTTAATAGCCAGACCTCTGAAGAGACAGTTTGTATCTCTCTGAAGGACATTTATCCAATTCATCAGGGATGAAAAGACAATCAGATGAGTTATGTTGACAAGATGAAAATGCTCAAAAGAGAAGATTTACTGATAGCGCTTGAGATAACTCTTATCTTCCCTCAAAAAATGAAGAAAAACTGCTTAATGAAAGATGGAAGACTTTGCCGACATTCCTGAGATTTTATAGAGTTTTTATTAAAAGGAGCAAGATGCTGCTGTCAGCACCTGAAGATAATTTCATGGTGCAATCTTAAACTTTGTGACAGTGACCGTTATTATCTTGTACTGGATTTGTTGTGTGGGTGTTATATTTTTGCAACTTTTTCTTTCTTCATGCAAATCCCAAGAGTAAATTCAATGCAACCATTGTAATTCTACTTAATTGTATTATTTGAAAAAAATTCTCCCATTTCTGGAGACGTAAATTCATTCATTCATTTATCGTAATTCACCGGGAGCCTAAAAATACAACAGAAGAAAATTGAAAACGACATGATATACGTACAAGAAAATAACATAAAATACTATTTACAAATAGATCCAGGTATGTTGGAGTACATGCATGTATCAGCCAAAATGGAAAAAAAGGCTCTTATATCAGGCTGACCCAGAAGTTAAATATTGAGTATACCATCCTAAATTTAGCTGTTATAATTTCTTCAAGATTTTGAAATGTGCATGGGGGCATTGTCTGAAGGCCAGGATTCTTATTTGACACTTTACCACAATACCTATACCCGTGAGCAGAGTCTATATCTGTCAGTTTCCAGCTGTGCATACATCTAATCTTTTTTTATTTTTTGTCTGCTGATCATGTATTAGTTTTTGCCTCTTTACATTAAAAAAGAAATCAATGAATTCCATTGATATATTTTCATAATAATGCAAGGCTGTGTCCATTGTTGATATTTTTCTTGCAATTCAGTAGTTCATATCAATATGTATTCAATGAAGTAAAAGAAAGAATTAGATTAAATTGGTATTAAAAACATAAGCAAAGAAATAATAATTAAGGAAAACCTGTATGCTTCCTTACAATTCCAGATTTGATGAATTTTCTTTTTTGTTTAATATGAAAACGAACCAAGCACTTAATTTATTCAATTTGTGACAGTTTCTTGCAACAACAAAAAGCTGGTTGTTACAATAAGCAAAGTTTTTTTAATAATTTTTACTATAGATAATTTACATATATCCCTTACTTAATTTTGTTTTATTTTGTGTGTGCTTTTCCAGGCTCATGTCTTTAAACAGGAGGGGCTTTTTACAGTGACGGTCAATGCCTCTAATGAACTTGGAAGTGCACAGAAAACCCTTCATGTGGTAAGTATTTGCTTGTTTTATTGTGACCATGAAATGGTATTTTTCTCATAAAGGCAACTCCCAGCCTCAAGGTATTACATGTATTAGTGAGAAGGAATTGTAATCTCATTAATTTATTTATTCATCTATTGATTTGGTATTATTTCAACCGGGTAGCCCCATCAGTAGTTAAGATACTGTTGTAACCTAAATAGAATTGAATTTATGTCAGGACAGCATTCAAAAATTGTTTAAGCTTGCATCACTAGTAAGTTAGATTGCACTAACTCCCTTATGAAGCTACTGCAGAGAGTCCAAAACACTTTTACAAGACTGATTTGTAGTTGCTCCAAATTCTCGTGGATCACCCCTCTTTTGAGAGAGACTACCAGTATGCCAAAAAATATAATTCAAATTCCTGATTGTCAATGAAGCGCTTATTGGTCAAGTCCCTAGTAATATGGTAGAATTGTTAAAGCCCCATTGCACGACTTATAGATACTTGCGCCCTCTATTTAGCAAACAATGTCTAATCGGTGACCATTAGTCCCCCATGATCCTCTTTTTCTGATGTTAAGTGAGAGCTGATTTGATGAGATAACCACCTGTCAGTGACCTTGCAGGGTGGTCTAATCCCTCCTGTAAACAAGTACAGATGGGCTTTAAAACTCAAGTCTCACAGATCATAAATACCGGTAATTTTCTTTTTGCATAGATTGTTATGAACAGAGGTATCAACAACCTGAGCTTGTCTCTGGTGGAAGGCTCTCATTTCACAAACCCCAACACGAGTCTGATCTTCAGCCTTAAAATGGAGACGGCCGATCGGGAGCAAGCTGTCCTCTCCCTGGAATTTGACGACGGGATCGTTTACAACCAGTCCCTCCGTGATGTCAACGAGACTTTCATCAGTGGTGGATCAGCCAATCCTGCCAATATGTACCTCACTGCAAGCTACGGAGACGGCTGCCAGCTCATTGTATCCTTCAGTCACAAGTACGCCCTTTCAGGGAGCTACGGTCCAAAGACGCGCATCCAGAGCAACGGAACTGCCTATCTGGCTGAACTTTCTGAAGCTATTGTTGTGCAGAGGTCCATTGAGGATGTTCAGCTGGAAGCATCAAGTTCCTACCCCCTTGGATCAGAAGGGACCATCCTTGCAGTGGTTCCATTTGAAACCAACAACATGACTTACGAATGGACAGTTGTGCTCGGCAGGGAGACGATAGCTGCGGACACCACACAGAATGGAAGCTTCATCCAAGCCTTTGATCTTGAAGGTCAATACATTGTGCAAGTGACTGTGAAGAACTTGGTAAGCCAATCATCTACTGTGAAGGTGGTCCGGGTGCAGAAAGCAATCACAGGTGTGTCCATCTCTGCTCCAGAAGAGGGCTTTGTGGTCCCTTTGGATCAGATTGTAACATTTGAAGCATCTACAGAGAGTGGCACCGATCCCACATTCCATTGGGTCTTCCAGAACGGAAGCACATATGATGACATTGGACTAGCGGACGCATCGGGACGGTTGATATTCAGCATTGTCAATCACACCTTTACGGAAGTTGGTGACTACAACGTTAGCGTCACCGCGTTGAATCTGGTCAGCGAGGTGACCCAAAGACTTGACCAATCGATGGTGGTCCAGGAACCAATCAGTGGACTTTCATCTCAGTCTGTCCATCCGACCCTCTTGAATCAGACATCCCAAATCGCTCTCAGAGTGATACGTGGCTCTCATGTAAAGTTCACCATCAATGAGACCGGGAAAGAAGAACTACTGCAGTCAGAATCAACCGAGAATGGAATGTTTGTGGTCACCACACTGCTCTCAGAGACTGGATTGCACTATGTGAACATCACAGCGTTCAACAATGTTTCTGAGGCATCCACAGTAGTCACACTGTTAGTTCAGGAGCCAATCAGCAACTTAACACTTCATCTGTATCCTCTGTCACTTGGAAAAGTGGCACTTGTCACATCTTTTGATGGTAAGTCCAAAACATTCACTCTTCATTTTCCACCTCATGTATCTGAAAGATAATTTGCAACAGAATAGTTATCACATATTTTGAGATTTCCTAGTCAATGATTTTGCAAAAAATTGTGATCTAACTTATAGTTCAAGTTCTCATTAAAACTGTAAAGTGCTCATTAGGTATTGAATTAACCCTTCCACCAATACGATGTTAGACAGTAGAGGCGACCTTCCTACCACACTGAACTGGTCAGCACAAGTGCAGATACGGTACCGGGTAAGAAGAGAAGACAAGGTTTCTTCAGGCTTCCATAGAAAATGTACAGCAGTGTCAACAAATAAATTCCTGATTTTACTAAGATATTGTTCAGGTGACATGATCTCCCCCAATGATTTTATAAGATCTATGTAGGCACTAGTATGTATCTCCATTTGCCACTCTCCGCCCAGGTGTAGTGAATATTTACCTTGTAGGAAGAATTAATTGAATTTTTTGTGCACTGGAATCGATAGCAAAGCTAAATCCAGAATAATGTGTAGTCACAGTGAGCACCTTGTGTGTTGGAATGAAATTACATGTATAGTGTAGTTGCTGGGTATATTAGTAGAAGCAAAATAATATTATGTAATAACTGTCTAAGAAAAAATGCAAAATCATTAATAATATGGATATTTATATGGTGCTTTACACATATTACCCTGGTTATAGCAGAGCTGCCAAAGTAACTAGCGCTCAAGCATATCAGGTACCAATTTACACCTGGCTGGATAATGGCAAATGTAGATAAAGATCTTACCAAAGGACATTAGTGCTGCAGCAGGACTTGAACCCTGTACCTTGTGATCTGCAGTAGGGACATTCATGTCACTACACACATTTTGTCTTGAATTTCAGGAACAATGAACAGCAGAGATGATATCTTGTATCACTGGATCCTTGATGGGATGAACCTCACAACATCCAGTGGCATCTTCATCCTAGAACGTGATGAGGTCACAGAGAACAGCACTCTCATTGCTTCTAATCTAGGTGAGGATGATTTATATCCTGTCATGGGTGTGAAGCCCCACTGCACTACTTATAGCTACTAGCGCCCTCTATATAGCAAACAATGCCTAATCGGTGACCATTGATCCCCCATGGTCCCCTTTTTCTTATGTTAATTGAGAGCTGATTTGATGAGATAACCACCTGTCAGTTACCATGCAGGGAGGTCTAATCCCTCTTTGCCAAACTAGTGAAGAGGGGCTGTACAGTGAAAAAATCTGCAGCAGCAGCTACCTTTCTAAAAGATCACCTGACTCTAAAGACCACCTGTTTACAAACTACACACTTCAAGTTTAATGTTCAAGTTCAGGTTAGATTTTATTTTATTCCAGTAATAATAATAATAATAATAAGTCCACTCCAAATTTTATTCAACCGAAAATGGAAATTCTTTTTGCCCAATTGATCGTGAGCCCGGCAGCCACTGAGCAGCTCTATGCCCTATTGTTGAGCGCCAAACAAGGTAGCAGCAACTCCCGTCTTTTAACGTCTTTTGGTATGACAAGGCCGGGGTTCGAACCCACGACCTATATACATGCAAATCAAAAATACAGAGCAGATGCAAGTCTTTATACTTGGAATCAAGGTTAACGTAAAATTATACAAATATTTAGTTAAAAGGTGGATATTATGGGACATGGTTTAAAACAAAATGAACATTGAAAGTACCAAACATAATTAAATACTTGGGTACAAAATTTCAATTATGATACTTACTGTAGAAACAAACTTTTCGGCATCATGTAGGTTAACATATGTCATATCACAGTGTTACAAATAGTATTCTGTCTTGGTAGTGCTAGAAGCATTATTTCTTATGACTTTTGTTTCACTTTTCCTTCCAGTGGATGAGAAGACTGTTCATGTGCCGAATAATGCCTCAGAAAGTCCTTTTCTGCTCACCCATCCTCATTATGTTGAAGTTAATGCAACCACTTCATTCACACTCTCTGTAAGTACCTTTTTAAAAAACTTTTCAGGGAGAGAGGGAAGCTAGGGGTGAGGAGGGAAGAGGGGAGTGGGAGAGAGAGCTAGGGAGAGAGATAGTGAGCTAGAGGGGAGAGGAGAGGGGGAATAGGCCTGTTTACTAATGATATGCGAGTGACGTCATAATCCCTCGCACCCTAGCGATTGTTACTACGTAGGGCAAGCTTTGCGTGGTGCGGCACGGTCGCCACATTGTTTTTCCATGCCCGCTACGCTATACACATACAAAGCCATTGCTAGCGACCGCGACGTTTTTTCACCCTAATTTCTACAATGGCATCGCCTTCGACATCGAGTTGTAGTTCCAGCAAGCCGTTTTCGCAGTGGACAGTGAAGGAGCTCACCGATTATTTAAGAAAGAGAGGAGTTACGACATCAGGGTACAACAAACAGAAACTAGTTCAACTTGCGACTGCTGTGGCCGATATCGCTTTGCCCCAAGACCCGGACCTTGCGAGCTTCGACTCCGCACGGTCGCTGCGGGAGAAGTTGGAGCGTGCGGGGTGCTCGTTCGACGACCCAATGAAAATCACCGGCTACACCGAGAACTTTGAAAGTATACCAGATTTCGGATTATACGACATTTTCAACTACCTGATAGTAAATAGAACTGACTACGACAGAAAGAAACTCAAAGCATATAATATGTCGATTCCAAAGTCCTTTCTTCCACAATTCTTAATCCATATTTTACACTTCTCCATGTTCGTCTTTGGTTTGGGGAACGGGATGAAAAACACACCATTCATATGGGGTCTGTCTGCGTACCGTGAATCGCTGTTACACGTGCCGTAACAGCAATGCTTACCTCCCATTTTTGCGATATTTCGTCGGATTTCGGAAAATAAAATCGAAGATTTGTCATGTACAACTGAGAAAAACTATATTTATTTTAATTATATACCCTAAGGTTGGAAAACAAACAGTTTTAAACGAAGTTTATTAGGACGATGATCAGCCTTTTTTTCCTCGCATTCCCCACATCGCCGTATACAAAGTGTGTGTAGCAGGGCCGTAGCAGACACTGCGCTCGGTTTGTTTGCCAGAGCTTACAACCGTGTGCAAATTTAAAGGTCCGTGAATACATTAGTAAACAGGCCTATTGGGAGTTGGTGGGTGAGAGAGAAAGGGATAGTGAAGAGAGAGGGAGAGAGAGGGAGAGAGAGAGACAAAGGGAGGGAGAGATAGAGAGAAGAGAAAAATTAAATTTGAAAGCCCATCAATGTGTTGTGTTGTGTGATAGAATGTATAGTACAAATTGAAAAAGGATATAACATGAGAGGGATGGATGAGTGCAAATGCTTCATTCTTGTACCTTCAATGTCTGTTAATCCATAGCAGTACAGTGTCTCATGTTGGCAATGTTTTTTGCGTTATCGTGTGATCCATAATCCTTACGCATATACATTGGCAGAAAAGGTCATTTTTTTCTTGAATAAGAGCAATTTTTTGTTAAATAATTATTATTACATTGGTTCATTTAATAAACATATGTATATTTTTCAAACTATGAAAGTGTTGTTAACAATATTAGTTCTTGCTGATTTGAGGATGAAAACTGATAAATTTAAAAAAATTATGACAACTCTGAACTGTTTATGAGTTAATATTGAAAATGTTGCACAACATGACAAAACTAAGAAAACAGCATTAGGATACTAAATGGGGAATAAAACAAAACAAACCAAAACAACACAAATCAAAACTAAACCAATCAAAACAAAGAAGGTGGTCTTCTCACAATAACCCTCCAACCTGTCCATTTGAGCCATTGGTTCTTTCTCTCTGGCTCTCGTCAAAGCAACTGACGGCTTAGTTACACAACAGATGTGGATTCTATTACATGATGGGTAATTTGGTTGGTATGTCCCATCCGTCAAGAAGATAACAATGGAAGACAATGAGAAGAACTAGAGAGGGGTATCCAAGATGCTGGGTTTCCCCAGCAGGGGGCTAAATGGGAGCTCACGCAACGCCCCGCAAAACCACAGAAACCGCAGACGGGACCAAAATAGCTGGGAGAATACCCGCATCTTCACCTGCAATATAACACCGTGAATGGTGTTATCTTACCCTTTCAAGTTTCAATATTTGAACTTGAGTTTTGTAATGTGACCTTGACTTTTGTAATGAGATTCCTTCCTCTACTTTAAAGAGAAGGTCGAGTCTTGCTTAAAGCCCTACTGCACTACTTATAGCTACTTGCGCCCTCTATATAGCAAACAAAGCCTAATCGGTGCCTGTTGGTCCCCCATGATCCACTTTTTCTTGAGTCTTGCTTAAAGCCCTACTGCACTACTTATAGCTACTTGCGCCCTCTATATAGCAAACAAAGCCTAATCGGTGCCTGTTGGTCCCCCATGATCCTCTTTTTCTTATGTTAATTGAGAGCTGATTTGATGAGATAAACCAGTGCAGATGGGCTTTAAAGGTGAGAAATAATTTGTGAGCATTCTCATTCTGTTTATTCCTCCATGATAGAATATCACAGTAGCAATGTCACTTGATATTAATTCTTCTTGAAATACTGGCATGTTCCACACATGACAAGAAGTTGTTTCAAACGTTGGACCAAACTTTGATGCCCACATTTGTCCACAGTCCCATATATACCCATAACTGCATGTGGTGTATATCCCTAAACAGGTGTTGTTATTTTCATCAAGATTGAATCAATTTTGAGAGGATTCCATAGTTGAAGTTCAAGTTCAAGTTGAAATAAGGTTTTATTCATTACTTGTCAACAAGTCCGAAGACTAAAAATGCAAGTTTACATCAATATAAAAAGCATTCAAAAACATAAAGATAACATAGCAAAAGAGGACAAATATATAACAATGAATACATTTTTAAGTTAAAACATTAAAGTAGTAACTAGAAAACAAAACAACAAAAAAAGATTTTTAAAAAAATACAAGATATGAAATATTACTAGCAAAAATGAATAAATGTTGACATATAAACAAATAAAATGTATACAGATACGTGAATTCAATTAACTGTAACATAGGAAAAATTGTAATTAAGTATTGAGTATTGAGTATTGAGTATTGAGTATTGAGTATTAAAAAGTATTAAAAAGTTTTAAAAAGTATTACAATTGGAGTCTTGGCAGTGCGCTAATCGCAAGCGTGATATGAGTACAGTATAATGTATAAACATATTGCACATGAGAACAATGGAATTCCTTAGGTATTATTGGTTACAGTAAGAATAAAATTCATACTGTGTATTGTGCATGATAGCTCCACAATACACAATATCTTGTCGTTTGCACTAAATAATAAGCCTCTCAAAGTAACCTTTAGTTATTTTCTATAACGCTGCAATATTACAGGACCAGAACTTGGCTTCATTTTCATTAAGCAGCTTTCACGTTAAAGATGTATATCTTGCATAAATAGTTAAAGTAAGATCATAGGAAATTAGTGCATCATGCACAATACATTTCAAGAGAATTCAAAATAACAGTGCATGTTCCTAAAAAAAAACACCCTGATGCACTGCAGAAAATACATGCATCATGCCCAGTTTCAAGTTGTCAAAAGAAATTTTGAAAACTCTGCATCTTAAAGGTACTATGTCCCATTTGCAGGCCCAAAAATTGAAAGGTTAAATTCCAACGGCATTTGAAAGATAATACTAATTTAGAACTTCCCTAAAAAAAGGGGGGTTGAAATTGTCTTTAAGTGGGAAAATAACAACTATTAGTTGTCGAATCGACTTAGGAGCTATAGAGCCAGTAATTAATAGTCTGATTTTCAGACCAATGTACCGAATGGTTGTACGTTATATGCTGCACAAATATTCAATCAGGTTAATTTTGGTCAAGAAGTGGCTTATTGATGTAGAAAAATGCTCATGTACCCTTTACAGTTCATTTTATGTATGCTTTTACCAAAGAAGAAAAAAGCCAGTCAGTCACTCAATAGTGTCTGACAGTAAAGTCTAGCAAGTAAACGGGTTTCCTTGCATAATTTGAATATTACGACAATGCTAACGTTTAAATTTCACAGATAGGACATACATGGCATATTCATAATTCCTGCAAAGGTCTACAGAATTTGATGTTGGCTGCAAAAGGGACATAGTATCTTTAAAATAACTTTTTGCAAGGTAGTGAGTCTTGAATGCATTTAGGGCTGGCTATGCATGTATAAAGATGGACAATACTCAAAGTTTATATCTTCTATATACTGATAATGCTGAAATAACTTTCTGGAACTTGGCGCAGTACAGACCCAGCTGCGATATTTGTTATGACATCTGTCTTTCCATCAACCTTGCTTGTAAACTGATTGCTGGAATCGTGGATATGGATTTATTTTCTTGATTTAATTTGTTTTGGGCTCTTGCCATGAGACTTGTCATCATCGTTTGTTGTCCTGTTGGGTTGCGTACACAAAGGGAGCTATTTTCTTGGAAAGATCAAAGGAATAATTCTTTTACATCCTTGATTCTCGTTAAACAAATGTAATTCATTTAAAGAGCATTTTGACCTTGAAAAAAAAAAGATCAGGTCAAATGAACCAACAAATGGGAGATATGTGCTAGGGAAATGTTATGTCAGATTTGGGACTGAGAGGTAAATGATTGTTTCCCTGTTTATCATAAAGTAATATGAAGAATCATATTATGATGATATAAAACCATTAAGGCTGAATGCTAGAGAATTGTTATTACAATCACAAAACAATTAGACCCTTCGTTATGAAATATATAAAAAATGGTGACAAATGTTGTCCCTTCACTTTAAAATTCAGCAGAATGTAATTTGTGAAATAGATCATCTCATTCACATAAATGAAAAAAATTTCTTTTAAAAGAAATAAAGTAGAAGAAAGACTTGGAAAAGAATGACCCAGAACTTCTGGAGTTGGGAGAAGAACCAAAACCATGATGAAATTGTCAAAAATTCCTCTACATTTCCCACAGAATAACTCATAAAATTGGGGAAAATGCAGA